TATGTGTGTGATATAGATATATTCATCTAGGTGTGTGTGTAGGTGCAGACATGTGTAGGTGTGTGTATGTGGTATCGGTATGTGTATAGATATGTGTGTGTGTGATATAGGTATGTGTGTCTAGGTATGAGTATGTGTGTCCGTGTGGGGGTTGGCATGTGTGAAGTGTGTAGTTGGTGCGTGTTAGTATGCTCGGGGCTCTTTCTCAGGCTTGAACTCTAGCCTGTACCCTTTGTCTGAGTGAGATGGCCCTGCTCTAGCTCTAACCCCTCCATCCTTAACAAATAAAACTCCAATCTGGGTTGAGGGAGAAAGAGGCTCCAGAAAAAGAACTTCTTTCCAAGTTCCAAAAGACAATACACAACTTGTATAACATGCCACATGCCGAGCCCTGGAGAGGAGGGAGAGGGAGGGACTTTGTGTCCTCTGCCTCCAGAAACGTTTGTGGATTCGATAATTAAATGAGAGAAGGGGCTGAGTGTAATTGGGCAGATGTCTGGATATGAAGCCCAGCTCAGTGTTTCCTTGCCCTGTGACCTTGGGCAAGTTACCCCCTAGCATTTCCTCATCTGTAAGTGAGGCCATTGGCATGCACGCCACCACCCAGCTATTGTGGGGATTAAATGAGATAACACAGGTCAAAGCCCTTGGCACAGTGTCTGTACAATCCTCTCTACAGCGTTCACATGGCCGATATGGCCATTAAGCCAGGGTGTCTTGACACACCAGCTGGGGATCTGACTCAGTGGTGTGGACAGGCCTGAGGTTCTGTATTTCTAACAGGCACATGGGGGTTGCTGCTGTTGCTGGACTAAGGTCCACACTTTGAACAGGAAGAGATGAAGTCACTACCCACTGGTATTTTGTCACCTAGAGCCTACAGCATATTCACGGACAGAGGTCTAAGCTGCATGTGTCTTTCTACCTGGGGACCCGGCTGGGACTGCAGCTTGTCCGCCATCTTCATAACTGCCTTTTGTATCGGTTTCTGAATAATTGGCAAGTACCTACAGTGGAAGTTCTTGAGGACATAGTTTCTTTCCATGATGGCTAACACGGCTGTCTGGCATTCTACAGGTGCCTAATCACATGAGTTGACTTGGAAACTTGTGTGGGAAGACCCTCTGTCTTTACATGTCTGGTAGCTGGGTGTTCAGTGGTCCAATCCAGGAGTGCTAGGGACAGCGGCCTTGTGGGGCTCCTGAAGTGAGGTTGGCTCCCAGGGAGCATCTGCTGGACTGGCCAGAGTCCAAGAGGCGGGGAGAGGGGAGGACACTCACACCCCTTCCTGTTTCAGAGCCTGGCAGCTGGGTCTGACCAGCTCTCCAAACACCTAAGGGACAGAAGGGGATGGCCACAGATGAATACTCCCTGTCCCTATTCACCCAGGGCTGGGTGAAGTGGCAGCACCTGGCTGCCCTCCAACAAGAGTCAACCCCTTCTAGATTTGTACAGGTTGATAATTCTGGGGTGGGTTCGTAGGCTGGTAATGCCACCAAGGACACAAAGTCCCCTCTACCTTCCTCCTTTCAGGCTTGGCATATGGCATATTAGGTTGTCATGTATTTATTATCGTCTGCCCCCACTGCTGAAACTAGTACCTTCCAGACCTTTGATCCTTCCTCAGTTTGGTTCAATCCCCCAAACTTTTAGCGGACACTACAGTACCAGTTTTTAAACTACAGCTAAAAGGCTCAGTGCTCATTCTATAGACTCATATGTATCCTGGATGGCTCACCTTATCTGCCAGGAAGCAACTGACCCAAAACAGCAAAAACACACAGCTCACAGTGGCTGAATTAACAATAAACAACACTGACGTGACCACTGTCACCGTGTGCTGGTCACTCTTGTAGGAGCTTCCCACATATCCACCTCACGTCGGCTCTCTGTGCAGCCCACTCTATTACTGCCCCTCCCCTTTTTTGGTTTTTTGAGACAGAGTTTCTCTGTGTAACAGCCCTAGCTGTCCTGGCACTTGCTCTGGAGAGTAGGCTGACCTCGAACTCACAGAGATTCACCTGCCTCTGCCTTCTGAGTGCTGGGATCAAAGGCGTGCGCCACCATGACCAGGTATACTGCCTGCTTTTCGCCTGGCATATTGCCCCCTTTCTACAATGGACAAACGGCCCAGAGAAGAGGTAACTTTCCCAAAGCTCATGGCTACTAAGAAGCACGAACCACAGGCCAAGGCTGCCCAACTGCTAAGCCTATTTTGACCCTGTCTATAATGCAGCTGAACACTCTGTCCCCGTAAGCATAGTTCAGCAAACGACACCCAGAGTCCTTTCTAGCCACAGGCAGGCAGCACCTCTTTTCTTCCTCATGGTACCCTCCTACTATGCTTCCTCCGCGGGAGTCCTGTGATGGACTGTCTTTCTTCTCTTTTCCATGGTGTAGGACTGCAGCTTTGATAGTCAGCTGCCACCTAGGGTACCACACTACTTCCCCAGGACCTGGTTCTTTTAATCTCCCAAGGCCAACATGATATCTTGTGGTCTTGAGATCACAGATGTACCCAAGGACAGACACCCAAAGTGCCAGGAGCAAGGAAAAGACTAGGCCTCAGGCCTCCTGAATCTGACTGGCACCTGTCTGTGGAAAGGCACTATTCCCCTCGGTGCCTAAATAAATTCCTCCAAGCTAGGCTGCTCTGCCAAGTGTCTTAGGTTACTCAAAATGCAGGTTGTTGCCCTCCTCTTCCCTCCTCCTTCTCCCCCTCCTATTTCTCCTCCTCTCCCTTCCGCTGTCCACCCCTCTTCCCTCCCACAGGAAATGTTCCCCTGAGGTGGGTGGAACAGCAGCTCTGTCAAGACCAGTCCATTCATAAGACTAGAGATGCCCGGTGTGGGGGTGGTGAGGGTGGGGGACCAGGATTTTAGCCAGGAGGAGTCCTAGCTGAGGCAGACTAGAGACGAAGGGCAGAGTCTGGGCCCATCCCACCCCAAACTGGCTGGAGTCTGTACCTAGTCCCCAGCTGTGAGGGGCAAGCCACTCAGCCAGTGCGATCCAGCAAAACCCCCATGAAGACAAAATGTTCTGTTTCTTGCCCTATCCAATTCAGCTGCCATGAACCACATGCCGCCAGGAGGACTTGCATACAGTTAGCATGACGGAGGAGCATGATGGTTTATTTAATTTCAGTTTGTTTACATTTCCATAGCCATGTGCAGCAGACCCCAGTGAAGATATAGTACAGACCTCAGCTTGCCCAAGCCTCAGTTTCCTTGGAATGTGACACCCTGGGTCCCTTACTTGCCTCAAAGGGCAGTTGGAAAAATGAAGCAATGTGGTATTGTGCAGTGAGCTCCAGCTGGCATCAGGACTCTTGCGCTCCACCTATTAGTGGCTGTGTGGCCCTGGGCAAGGTTCCAAACCCCTCTGAGTCCTGGGCCATCTGTACAGTATGGAGTTATTTTGAATCTAAGATTCTTAGCCAGGAGCTCATGGATGGGCATGAGGGGAGTCTAATAAGAGTAGGTTTGTGTGACTCTGTGACAGTGTGTGTGTGTGTGTGTGTGTGTGCGTGTGTGTGCGTGTGTGTGTGTGTACACACGCGCATGCGCGTGCGCAGGTGTGCTCATGGGGGAGGCAAAACCCAAACTTCCCCTAGTGTTCTAAGGGCCCTGTAAAAGTCAAGCCCCTAGCCTAGATGGGTTCCTCTAGAAGGCTGAAAGCTGACTTTCTGGGCTCCCTCCCAGTCGCACTTATCGAGTGGCTGGGATGGAGAGCCCTGTCATCTGCATTTGTAACACGTACCCAGATCCTGGTGTGCAGCCTCAGAGGAAACTCTGGCGAGAAGCCAGGCAGCACAGCCTTCTCAAGACTTGACATACGTGAGTCTTATCAAGCCCTAGTTTGTATTTTTAAAACCCAGCTGGGATTTGAAAAACTAAAGAAAAAGGAAACAATAATGACATATTACTGAACCCCAGCGACTCCTTTCTCTGGGTTGTCTTCCAACACTGGTATACAGTCGGTGCCAAGCACTGTCCTGTGCTCTCTATACATATTAACTCCGGATTACAAAGATTATAAACACTTAATCCTCACAACATCCGTGTCTTTTTTCCCCCTCCTGCTGCTGTGATAAAATACTGTGATACAAGCAGCTTACCGGAAAAAGGATTGATTTCAGCCCAAGGCTCAAGAGTACAGACCACCAACGCAGGAAGTCCAGGCTGCAGTACTTGAAGCAGCTGGTCAGATGGTGGCCACAGTCAGGAGCACAGGGCCACAGCTGCTTTCTCTCAGTGCTCAGCTAGTTTCCTCTCTCTCTCAGACAGGGTCTCACTACATAGCCCTGGCCGTCCTGGAACTCTATGTAGATCAGGCTGGCCTCAAACTCATAGAAATCTTCCTGCCTCTGCCTCCCGAGTGCTGGGACTAATGGCACACGCCACCATGCCATTTTTTTTTTTTTCCGAGACAGGGTTTCTCTGTGTAGCTTTGGAGCCTATCCTGGCACTTGCTCTGGAGACCAGGCTGGCCTCGAACTCCCAGAGATCCGCCTGCCTCTGCCTCCCGAGTGCTGGGATTAAAGGCATGCGCCACCAATGCCTGGCCACCATGCCACTCTTAGCTTTCCCTTTTTTACACAGCCCAGGACACACAACCAGGGAATGGCGCTGCCCACTTTGAGTGTGGGCTTTCTCAACCCCATCAAACCAACATAACCCTCAGAGGCATGGCCAGAGACTAAATAATTCCCTACAGATGTGCCTGGAGGCCCAGGTGATTCTATATCCCGTAAAATTGACAGCTAACATTAACCATCACAATCCCAAGGTGGTTGGTGCCATTGCCCCATTTTACAGATAAGGAAACTGAGGTTCAAGGGTGTGCTCTGTTCCAGGTCACACAGATCCAAAGTGTTAGAGCTGGGATCAAGCATGAAGCCGAGGCTCTTACTGATGTTATCTGAAGGCCCCAGAGGCTTAGCCAACCTCCCTCCCACCCAAGGACTAAGGGTTCTTGGGAGGTGCAGGCCCCACACTCACTTGCCCTCCGAGCCATAGCTATTCATGCTGTCTTCGATGGACTCGTGGCTGGCTTGGCGCAGCGTCCGGCTGGGCATCTCCACGGCCAGGCCTGTCTCTGTGCTCCTCTGAATGGCACCCTTCAGCCTCCGGCTGTCTGCTGTTGAGCACAGGGGCCAAGAGAGATAGGGAGAGACACGGGGAGCAGGAGGGACAGAGAAAGAAGCAGTCTAGTTAGCATTTCAGAGGCTGAGGGCAGCCAAGCTTCAGCCCTAACCCAAGCCACCAATGTCCCCGATCCCGCTGGCTCACCTGTACCCACTCTCCCTGGGGCACAGGGTACTCTTCATAGCTACCCAGCATACAACACCCTCCAGAGCTTGGTTAATGGATAGGCTTATTTGCATACTTTCTCCCCTGCAGTCTTCTCCATCAACCCCTTGTCCTCTACGGATACCATCTTAAGCACCTACCATGGGATATACTCTTTCAGAAGCTCTGCAAGGTCAGGCCAGGGCCTCTCAACGCCAGAGTGACTGACTCTGTGGGTAGCATATTGTTGGTGTTGTCTTGCTCAATATGGAATCCCTAGTAGTATCTCTAGTCCTCGTCACTAGATGCTAGTGGTGCCCCAGTCCAGCTATGCCAACCAAAATGGATCCAGGTGTTACCAACTATTCTCCAGAGAACAAATTCCCGGCACTGAGGATCACCAAGATCACTGGCTTTGAAGCCAGGTGGTGGGACGCAAATCCTGAATGCCTTTCTCATTGACTAGAGAGTGCATGGCATACTCAGCCTCCCTGGATCTCCATTTGTTTATCTGTAAAATGGGAGAGCTGCAGGGTTACGATGAAACAAAATGGCCTTTGTGCTTGGAATTCTTTCCCATCATGCCTTTCTTTATCAGCCACTCATTCCTTTGCCTCCATCTTGTGACACAATGCTCTCTCTCTCTCTCTCTCTCTCTCTCTCTCTCTCTCTCTCTCTCTCTCTCTGTGAGTGCCAACACCTCCAACCAGCTCCCGTCAACTCAGCCCCTCCACAGCCAACCCCTCTGCCTAAGAGCATGTTTTGGTTTCTTCCTGGTGCTGACCACGCAATGTGTTGGCTTTTTATTGGAAGGCCTCCACAAAGGTGTGTTCACCAATGGGAGCCTCCGAGCCATGAACAGTGTTCACTGTGGGTGTCCAACTGGTGAGTGCTGGATAGACCATGGTGCCCCAAGGAGTCCAGAAAGCTGAGGTTCTTATTCACCCTCCTTCAGTGTGGAGGACAATGACATACTCAGGGACTGGTTCACAGAGCCAATAAGGAGGAGCGGGAATATGCCTCCAGAAGGTCTCCCTCAGATCCCCATGGCCTGATAATTCATGGTAAGACTCACCTGTCCCACTAGGGCTCACTATGGATAGCGCAGATTCTTAATGAGGCCCTTCCCACAGCACTCCAGAATCTGGGGATAGCCTGGGGACCTCATCAGTGAGTGCTCGCTGACTGACCTACTGGGGAATACAGCCATGTGAACCCTGTTGGCATGTTGCTGCCAGGTGGGCCAAGTCACCTCTAGCCTCTTCTGCTGGCCTCTTCCCAGGACTATGGCTTTTGAGTCTCATATGTGCATGTACAGAGCCATCAAAACTATGTATGTTTGCCAAAGTGTGTGCTCACATGTTCCTGTCTCCTCGTGTCCTGGGTGCATTGATGCAGAAATGCCTGCACACTCAGAGACACACATATGAGTATACACTCAAAGATGCAAGGAATCCAAGTGTCTATATGAGTGGCTAGCTGCTGTCTGTGCCTGACCTTCACCAACTGGCTGGTGCGTACCTGTGCCATTTGAGTGTCTTGTGTGTTTCTATGGGTTTCTAGCCACTGTTCAATGTGCCTGAGGGTAACTGGGTACACCAGATGGGCAGCCTTAAAAGGCCCATGCCCAACCACTGGAGAAAGCTCACTCAAGAGATAGCAATATGCGTTTCTCTGTGTGTTGCCCAGTGTCTGGGAACACGTGATGGAAGTGTGTTCCTGTCTGCATTCATTTTCTCTAACCTGCTTCTCTCTAACGGGTGATATCCATTCCCACTCCTGTGTTCAGCAGGTACAGAGGTGTGGAAAGATCCAGAAACACCAGATGAGAGAAGTGTCCCTTTACACACAAACAGATGAAGACAAGGGCAGTCATGCACACGAACAAACAGTCCCTCCCTGAGGCTTCAGATCCATGACGAGGCACCTTCGGACAAGCTTCAGACACCTTCCCAGACATCTAATCCCCATCCCTGAGCCCTGTGCCCTGCCTCTGTGTCACCCTCACAGACTGACACCCTCATGCATAACAAACAGCTTGATCCCCAGGGCTGAGGAGGCCAGGGTGTATTTCATGTCTGTGCCAGTCTGTAGCCCTCAAGGAACCCCACACTCAGGCTCATGTGCCTCATGCCAGCGGGATTCAGGAAACAGGGAGTCTGGCTCTTTAGGAGGATGGCCCAGGCAATGGCCATGAAGTTCAGACTGCTTACTCATGGACCCTGTAAGGGGTTAATGACGACTATTTACCACCGTGCCTGGCACACAGTAGATGTTACTCAGAAGTGCTACAGTCATTACAGAGAGAGGATGTCCTCATGACACTGCCCAGTTTACCCTGCACAGCTGTCTTGCTGATGCTTTCACAAACATGCTGCATTCTTCCACCTGGAGACTCTCTGTACCCAAGCAGTCCAGAAATGTTCATCACCTAACCTCAGCTACTCAACTCTCCCATCAATCACCTCTTGCTGAGGCTTGTCTCAGGCTTTTGTTCCCTAGGAGGACAATGTTCCTCCTCATGTCCCTCCTCTGGGAGAAGAGACATCTTCCGGTCTAATCCTGAGAAAGAACACATCAGGATAAGTGGGTTTTAGGGCAGGGAAATTGGGAAAGCATGAACACAGTCATTATGGAATCAGGGACAACCATCCCCTCCATAGATAATGGGGACAAAAGTGTCACTACCTGGTAGATTAAGCATGAAGGAGGCTTTCTAGAGGTGGTGAACGCTGGGCAAAGGACTGTTTCCATCCTGCACAATTACCATTGTGGAGCTCAGGGTTTGTGTTCTGTAGACCCCGGATACCGAAAGTGCAACTGGCTACCCACAAGGCTGGTCACCCTGTTGTAATAAACTGAGTATGGGTGTCCCATTTTTCACTAGGCACTCATCTTTGCTGTACCCCAAATTCAAACGGTATAGTTTGCATTTTCTCCCACAGGATCTTAAGTCTCCCCTCCCAATTTTTTAGAGGGACGGGAGAAGGAGACACAGGAAAGGGGCAGGAGGAGCAATGACTAAGGACTGGAAGATGGAGCTAACGTGGCATGGTCCCTGGCTCTGCGACCTCACTGCTGAGAGCAGAAAGTAGATGGTCAGTGATTAATCACAGGTAAGCTAAGTGCTGGGAAGAGCCGGTGCATCACCCATGGCGGTCAGCAGAGACGGGGACTAACTTAGGATACTGACTCCTTTACTAGCTGAGCTGGAGTTATGGACTCTGTCTTTCTTTGACATCTTTGATAGTGAATTCTACTGGCTTTCCACCTGCCTCTGGCCATCGCCTCTGTTCACAGCCCCACTGGCTTCTACATTCATTAGGCCATTGCCATCCATGCACCCTTGAGGGAATCTATCTATCTATCTGTCTGTCTGTCTGTCTGTCTATCTATCTAATCTCCCTCTCTCCTTGCCACTAGTGGTTCATCACTTCCCACAACCTCAGAGCCACACTATGCAAATGAGCCCTACACTCCAGTCCCAGTCCCTAACCCCTGTTTATTGAAACTGTATTTCATCACCATGTGGAAGAGAACCAGGTCCCTGGACTCAACCTAAAGAAAGTTCAGTCTACTATGGGCTTTCTTCTTCCAACAAGCTTCTAATCCATGTTCCCTGCACCCTCCCCGCAAGTTTCAGAACCTTCTGGGATTACAGAGGCTTTTTCTCTCATTCACTGTGTTCCAGGGCTTGCAAAGTCATTGTCCCTTATACTGTATATCCCCTTTCTTGTCCATCTTCAAAGCCAGGCATCCTCAAGCTTGAACTCTAAATGGCTTACAAGTCGCTTCCAACCCACCACCCACAAGCCATTAGCAGATTAAAACACTTCAGAACAAGGCATTCCACTCTGACTAGTCCATTCTACACAAGCAATCACAGAAGAGCACGAAGCTATGCACCCAGGGGTTCCCCACTGGACTGTTCACACCAATGAGATACCAGAGTTAACCGCCCATCGATGAAGAACCAGTTAATTAAATGACACACCACCACAATAAAAGACCGTGTAACTGACGAAAAGACTCATCTACATCCACAGTGACACAGAACGGCTCCCTCAGCAGGCTGCTGAGTTAAAAAAGCAGGTTGCAGGCAGTATGTAAAACGTGGTGCCATTTCTGTAAAGCTATAGATAGCTGTGCATGTGCGCGTGTGAGTGTGTGTGTGAGAGTGTGTGTGTGTGTGTCTGTGCAGAGAAAGAGCGAGCAGTTGGTCTTTATATTTATTCATAACAGAAAAATCTAGGAAGACATGAACTAAAAAGCCAATGGTGAGTAATTGTGGGATGGGGATGTTAGCAGGAATGTGTACAAGATCATTTTTTTAACCACTTTTACACCTAAGTATAAGTGCACAGGCCATAAGTGTAGAGTTTGGCGAATTTTTACAAACGAAATAAGACTGTATAATTCGCATAGATTTTAAAACAAATAACAACAAGCATTCCAAGGACCTCAAGGAGCCCAGCACCTTCCCCAGTAGTTTACAGGGGCAGCCACCACTCGGGTCTCTAATGGCAGCCGTTACTTTTGCGTGGTTTTCACGGTTATGTAAGGAGCCCTTCTTTTCTGGGGAGAAACAGCTGCTTTCTTAAGCTGCTTCCACCTCTGAGGTCCGTGCATGTTACTGTCTGTAGTCACTTCACACAACTTGTTCATGCGCTGTTTGGGTGGGGGGCTTTTGCTGGCTTCTCACCAAGTTTGAAGCTATGGAGGAATGATGTTGCTCTGGCTATTTCAGTGGAAGGCTCTTGGGGGGATCTGCACCTGTGTCTTTTGGAAATGTACCTGGGAGTGGAGCTGCCGGGTCACAAGGTAGATATTTGTTCCGCTTTAGCTGAC